AATTGCAAAATGACCAAGACCCAGAGTGGTGCACGCAGATGCACTCTAGACAGGCCAGTCTGAAAGTAAAACAGATACAGTTACCTGTGCTTCTAGTCCTTTCTGTTCAGATAGTCTGATTTTTAAGTAGTCTGTAAATATAATGCCAATACTCAAAGAAGGAAAAAGTATTTAAAAAAAAAAAAAAAAGTAATGATTCATGCCATCATGTACCATTTTTAGTGCATGGTATTAGCAGATTTTAAATGGTTACATTTCATAATTAACTCAGTATGGATAGTATACAGCCTGCCACCATAATCATTATCAGATGAATACCATAGCTTTTAGTTTTGTATTACTGCTAGTACTTGGTCACAAAAACACAGCATGTTTTGCAGAGAGTTTACTTCCAGTACTCAGGCCACGTTGTTTCTTCTCCAGAAGAACTGCAGCTATGGGATATTGTTGAGGAGTCTTACTAGGAAAAACGCATGATTTAAATGTGGGGAAAGGTAGCTGATGTAAAGGCACTAGTTAACAGCTGATCTGCATAGCAGTCACTGAAAATTCTTGCTAACTGAAGGTTAGGCTCATTGTGCCTCCTATAAAATGGTAAAGACAAGATATGTAAGGAGCAGTAAGGTCAATTGGCATAATAGGAAACACATATGGAAAATAAGCAAGTTTTGGAGACACGCATTCTTCAGATCAGCGTCTATTTTGAATCTAAAAGTTTGTGCATCTAAAAGCTCTCTATTTAATTGTAGCTATGTCATTCGATCTCTTGAGTCGCTCGATCTCTTTAATTTGCCATCCTGACAGTCCAGCAATGCTTACATCCTTAAGTCATCACAGCTACACCATCCCGCTAGAAAGTTATCCTTAGAGCAAAGCTACAGCCACAACTAACTGCTACTCTTTGCAGCTTTAGTAGAAAATAAAACAAATTAACATTGGCAAAGGAAATTTAGAAGCTATTTTGTTATTTTTCTGTGTTTTCTGGCTAACTAAAGAATTAAATTTTAAGCCATTAGTCTATTTATTGCGGCTATCTGTAAATCAATATAATGTTTTCATTTAATGATACTGATAGGTGCTATAGTGCTCTATATGTTGAATGCAATATACAGATCCTTATAGCCCCAGTGAAATAAGTTCTATTCATTTCCCGCATTTTACAAACGATAAAGTCAAAAGATGCAACGTTTACACATAACATCCACTGAAGCAAGTAGAATCAAGAATAAGACTTGGTGCTGTTGATTTTCCCAACAACCATTCATTTCGTAAGGGAAATGACAACCTTTAATGACAATATTATTAGAAATAAAACTTTACAAATTCACCTCTAAGTTACAGTGATCTTCTGTGCAAGTACAATGAAAAAGAAAGCAATTTCTAGGGAAACTAAAAAAGCGTTTTGAACTGTAAACAAAGTTGAGAAGTTCTGCCTGTGAGCATGAGTGCAAGTGGAAAACAGAGTGATCTTATGTAAAGTCTGACCAAAGCATTGTTTCCATGTAAAAAAGTAGGAGGTGATTTTCCTGTTAGAGTACACGTATCTTAGACGCTATTTCTGTTGGGCTAGATTCAGGGCTTTGAAGAAATTCACCCCCAACCACTGGATTTCTTCTGTTCCTTTTGTCCGTGTGGAAGACTTAGCCAAAACCTTGGGAAAGGAAGGAAGGGCTCTGCCCTCAGGTCCTTTCAAGTGCTCTGCATTCCACGAGTCAACTGAGAAAGCGTGGGAGGGGGAGGCGAGGGGAGGGGAGGGGATGGCATAAGCTAGAAAATCTCTTAAAGAGTATCTAAAAATTTCTGTCATAGCATCTTATTCTAGACACAAGGTTTATATGTATTTCTGTAGGAAACAATGCAGATTTTAATTGTCCTTGAAGAAATTCCTTTTAACGTTTTTCTTGCTATTTGTTGCTGTTCTGCTACTGTTTTGTGAAAAAAGTCCTGTGAAAATGACTTAGAGGGTCATTTCAGTTAACTTAAAATGTCTTGAAGACTTGAATAAAAAATGCAGAAAGAAAATCCCCAGCTATAAATAACAAGCTGTGTTTATTTTCTCTTGTTCAGGTTGTAGGGTTTTTTGTTTTCTGGGAGTTTTCTCTTTACTTCTGAAAGATTAGCTATATGCCTTAAAATATTGTCAGTTAAAGATTTACGTGATATTTCCAACAGTTTAAAAAGTTTAGTTCTTTGAATCACTCTAGGTGAAGTAGCATATGTGAATAGTAACCGTTGGTCTTACCACAAAATAGTTTTGGTCTGTCTGTGCAGGAAAGGTTTAAGATTGGTCTTCAACGAAACCACTAAGAAAAAAAAAAAATCAAAGATCTCTGTACTTTTTGTTGTTCTTTAATCTAGCTATAAAACAGTGTGATTTTTAAGTTGATACCTGAGGTTTAAAGGAATACAACCCTTTTTATTTTTTTATGGCATTAAAAGAGAGAAGTAGGTATTAGATGCAGCAGTAATTCTCGAGCATTGTTCTCCTTGCCTGAAATGGTACTATTCAGAGCTTTAAAGTGCAACAGACAGTTTCATAGCTATGTATTTTCCAAAACTGTTATGCTGTTGTAGCTTTGTTTTTTTCTCTAATTTGTGCTCACTAGAAAGTATTTATTTTACCTTAAAAAAAGCAAAATGTTTTAGCTGAAGAGGGAATTAGAAAAATGCAGCATTTAGTTAATGACTTGAAAATATACTGGTTCTCTCTGAGGAAAATGAATTTAACTACAATTATGCTGTTGCAGCTCTTGTCCAGTAGATGTTGCTGTACATACATAAAATTAGGAGATGCTCTAACTATAAAATTCTACATCTGCATGTCACCCAGTATTTTAAATAACTTTTTCGGTATAATTAGCTTTGTGTTCTCACTAGACTCCACAAAAGGTTAGAACTACAAACAGGAAGACTGTTAGTCAAACCATATTTTTCTTCAACTGTAACTGTCTCATGCAAAGTTTACTCACGTTCCTCAGTTTTCAAAAATGTGAGCTGTCCATCAAGATGCTGATTAGTTTGCAGTCTCTTTTACAGTTAATTGAATTGCATAAAGAGAATTTTCAGCCAAAATGCTGTTCCTTAAAAAACAAACTCTCCCACGCACATGTTGTAACTCCAGACTGCCTTCATTCCAAGGCGTATCTTTCACTCCACATCAATGTCCTTCTCCAGGCAACTTCTGTGCTGCCAACATAATAGTTTCTTCATACAAACCTGATGCGCAATTGAGTGATACAGTTTAGCTCTCATTAACATTCTAATGAGATTGCTCTGACCTTGTGAAGTTCATTGTATTTGCGCTGCTGTTAGGCTTTTCTCTGTCTTAAGTGTATGTCGTTCCTCAGAGTTAAACGGGAGCAGACTGGCCTGCTATATGTGAAGTTTGTTGATGTATATTGTCTTTGCTTATTGAAATGTCATGAGTTAGTTTTTGTAAGTACCTCATAAAGTGAGTGATCAGTTTTCACTTCTTCACTTTGAAACCCCTTTTTTCAGAATTATTTTCAACAGTGGTTATGAGATACTTACACTTTTCAATTTTCTCATTTTCACAAGACTGCTGAAAAATCTGGCCAAATGGAAAGATCAAAGAAAAATGCTAGACAAAGACAGAATGATTTCAAGGTAAGTTACAGGGGGGAACCTTGCTTTTTTTTTTAGTAGCCTTTCAGAAAAAGACTACTAGCTTGAAAAGCAGATTTCTTAAATCATCTGTTTCGTGCTGGATACCCCAAGGTATTTATGGGTCTTTTCTTAAAAATATTTTTCAACCATGCCATGCAAAAGCTACAGCCTCCTCTAAATGGTAGGTCTCTTGCACAGTCAAGTGTATGCCCTTAAACCTCTTTCTCCCCTACTGTCTGTCATGTGGAGCTCCCTGTAAATCATACATTCCATCTGTTACATATAGCAAGTACACAGTTGAACAAGCATATTGATAGAGCTTTTACTTGATTTTTTTCCCCCTTATTCTGTTCCAGAAAATGATTCAGGAAGTGATGCACTCATTGGTAAAACTTATCCGTGGAGCTTTGCTTCCATTTAGCCTCAGAGAAGGAGAATCAAGACAGTATGGTGGCTGGGAGATGAAAACTGAACTTTCTGGCCAGTGGTTAACACATGTTATCCAGACTGTAAGGTAAATGGAGCTGTTTATCTGCAATATGGTGCTGTTTCTGGAATGTGTATGCTTTAAGTCAAGTTGTTTTAATTATTGCATTTAAAAACTTGATAGTAAGAATATTAATACTTTCAAAGTAGGGTCACAGAAGGTAGATGATGGCAGATTTGGGATTCTGTGTGCAAGTTTAATTCATAATGCTTCATATTGTATCCTTACTATATAATAATGTGTTTTTTCCCCAGAACCTCTTGGGAAAGAGGTTGAATAAATGATTTCCCTGCACTTCATAGACACTTCATGAATGAGAGGGGATTTGTTTTTTGTTTTTTTTTAGGGTAGAATTTAGTGGTCTGCTTTGCAATTGTCTGCTTTATTTCATACACATCTTCCCATCTCCACAGTAGCATCATTCTCAAATATTCCTTTTAGCTTACAGTTGTCTTAATTTAGATGATACTCCTGCTTATAATGTCATTCTACTTATAGTTCTGTAAAGTTTGTTCATAAACTTAGTAATGCATACATCATTAATTGCAAAATATCTTAGTAAATGTACAGGATTGGCTTCTGTTTGTCTATAGAGGATAAAAAGACTGTCTAGATCTTCCAAAAAATTATATTATAACCGTAATACCTGGATATGGTACAGCCATATCTGCAAGTTTTATCTGCAAGTTTCAAAGCAGATAATGAGCAAAGAATAGAGAGCGAAGAGAAAGGGATATGGTCATGTGCAGTCATGTACAGATAATTCCTTTTACAGGTGGAGGTGGTGGCAGTGATACCTGTTGTTAAGTCTGCTTAACATTTTCCTGAAATCTGTTGTCAGTTATGTTAACTGAACGTTAACCATTCAGAAGAAAAATTTCTGTGTGAATTTTCTTACTCTAGCTGCGTCTTATGGAAACCTTCAAGTTTAAGAAGGGACGGACTTACCATTTGATGAAAAGATGTAAGGGGGAGAGGGAAAAGGCTTTGGCATCAGTATTGCCCTTTTATGAAAAGCAATCTGATTTCATTCAGCTTACAAGTTTCTAAAATTTGCTACTTGCACAGGTGTAGTGTTGGCATGGAAGTTTAACTAACAGATTCTTTGAGCACTGATTCTGCTCCAGAATCCTGCCATCCAAGGTATGATCCAATTTCAAGTGATAGGATACATAAAGGTTCTTTTTCAGAGGCTCCCCGCTTGCTTTATGGCTACTGCTCCGGTGACCAATACGAGAACTGAGAGTTGGGGACCTTCTCTCCTCCTCGCACTCTCTTTTCCTCACCTCACGTCGTTACTGATGCCTCTGCTGGCACTTTATAAGAGTGAGAGATAAATACAAAGCGGTCAAAGATAGGGAAGAACAGGGGCAATCTGGAAAGGAGGGACTGAAGACCATGGTAAGGTACACACAGTGATGACAAGGTCAGAAGTTTCTGCAAGTAACAGAGCTGTCCTTTACAAGCCACAGCGTTCTTTGACAAGCTGATAAATTCATGTGACTCCCACTATCAGAGAAGGTGGATTGTTCTCATGAATCATCTACACATTGCATAAAAACCTCTTTTGCCAAGTTATGTGATAGCTTAGCTCTTGTTGTTATAAATTCCAACATACAGTCACTAGGAAGCACGTGATAAGATTTTATTGTTTTCAGTTATCTCTCAAATTAATTAGCGTTTTCTGCTTGTATTCAGGAATGCTAAAATTTACAAAAGAATATAACAAAAAATTGAAATTAGGGCTATGCAATATTAGTTTTTCTGCCTGTATATATGTATCACACAGCTTTAAGCGAGGTGGTTGCACTTTCGCTTGTACCCCACTGTCATTGCACAATATGGGTAGTTGCTGGAGGATAAATTAGAGTAATAATATGTAACAAGGTGAAGATGTTATCTGCAAGACTTTTGCTTCATTGTAGGGGTAGAAAGGCAAGTATTTGGTAGGGCAAAGTGATATTAGAAGGGGAAGGTCTGTGACAGCTGAGTGCTCCCTTGGGAATGAAATTTTTATGCAGTCTAAAGTCACTTAAAGTTCTCATAGATGCTGCTTACATGCTGTGTTTCTTGGCTGCCTGAGATAATGCAGATTTATATAATCTACTAATTGTGCTGAGCAGAGAGCAGCCAGGATCAGAATAATGTTTTCTGGAGTTATAACATGGCAGAGTTGGAATGCAGTTAGGTGGTTTTTTGACCATTTATGCCCAACACCGAATGTAAAGAGCTAGAACCTACAGGTGGAAACATTCCTCTTGTTCTTTCGCAATTTCCAGTACGTATACCTTGCTTGTGTCAGCAGCAGAGCAATGGCTGCATTTGAGTTGTTCTTGCTTACATATCCAAGTGTAAGACAGAAGCAGTAAACCTCACTTTGTGTGTCTACCTAAAGGCTCAGCACAACTGCAGCCTTTTAGTTAAAAGCTCAAATGCTACTCCTTATAAGTGACGACTGTGTTACTATTCCTGGATGAAAAATAGAAAAGAATATTTCCATCCTCTCCTACAGTAGCCAGTAATAGGGGTCCAGTCAAAGCTGGGAGCAAAACAGTGAATTAATTCACTCCTCGTTCTGCAGGTGATGCAGTAGCTGTGTTTCCTTTTAGCCCCTTAACCCTGTTTATGTTTGTGATCTGACATACCTCTGCATCATATTTATTGCAGCTTGATGGCTATTACTGTTCTAATACCAGTAAACGATATCTTGAAATGCCAATTGTAAACCTAGGACTTGATCTAGGCGCTTATATTAATATAGCAAAAAAGATGCTTCTGTTCTAGAGGACTTATTCTTAGATCGTAAGACAGTAGATGGATGTCAGGCAGGCAGGTGGGAAAGTGCAAGAGGGTAATGGGAAAGGGTTGGGAAGTTTCTGTGGTGATATTATCATAACGTTGCAGGAAAAAAAATCTGTATTTGCATGTTTTCAGCATCTGAATTAAGCAAATAATTTATCTTCTCTTATTGGATTAACAAGTTTTAAAAGGCTTACTGCAGATGCAGCTGCTGTATTCACAAGCACAGAAGACAAAAAACAAACAAACAAAAAGAAACCGAAAAAACTTTATGAAATCTTATAAGCTTAAAAACAAAAATTACAAATTTACATTTTAGCTTTATTTTATTTCCTTTCAGGCTTAGTTCTGAGTCTCTTACTGCCCTTGAGATACCCAATGATATGCTTCAGATCATCCAGGATCTTATTTTGGACCTTCGTGTGCGTTGCATTATAGTGACCTTACAACATACAGCTGAAGGTAATAAAATGCTGCAAGTCTCTATGTTTACTGTTCTGATAGCATTGTGTATTATGAGTCTTTTCTTCCCTTAATCTGATGAGTATGGTAGTTAGATCTGTCTCTGAGTTGAGAGAGCTGTAAAATGCGGATGATTTATCTCCTGATGCAGCTTTTCCATCTTGGAAACATTTGCTTTTTTGAGTTTTTCTATAAAGGAAAAAAAACCACACACACACAAAACCCACAAAAGTTAATGTAATATTTGATTTGTGGTTTTCCTGGGGCCTTTTACTAATGATTTGATCCCTGAACTTCCTATTGTTACAGAGCTTTTGCCATAAATGTTGAGATTTTCAAGGCCAATAACACATTCACTAAATCTAATGCAACCTTGCGTGCAATAGAGGCCATACTTTCATTGATTTTATTATACTTTATTCTCCCCCAAAACTTGAATTTGAATGAAGTAAATCTTCCAGAAATAAGCACATCTCTAAAATCAGGGCAGAGTAATCTGCTAGGTCACCTGGTAGGTTTTGGGGTTCCCCCCCACACCCCACAGGCTAATTACCCTCACCATTAAAAATGTATTTTTTTTTTTTTTTCCGTATTTGCATGTCTGCAGATTAAATTTCCAGCTATTCTTTTTTTTTTTTGCTGGAGCCAGTACTTTCATTAGCCAGTGTTTCATTATACAATCAGGTGTCATTTTGCTCTTCCTTTTGAGGCATCCCAGGGAAGTATTCTTTTCCAGGCGACAACTTACTTTTGTGTATTATTCTTCACCTTCCTCAGTTTTTTAGCGTGGGTATAAAAATATCTTTTACATTGTCCAGTATGTATTTCACCACTAACACCTACAAAGATCAAGTTATCTTCTTTTATTCCCTTTTAACATTGTCCACCTTAATACTCTAGTGTTTTGTATTTTCCTGTATTGTCAGAATAATCATTAATACCAGCTAGGTTATAGCTTTCCAGGGTACAGTTTTCTGTTGTATAACACAAACCTCATTCTTTGTTTCTGAGTATAGCATGGTTGGATGATGACATTCTTCATCTGAATGGTCCCAGTTTACATCTCTCTGTGCAAATGCCCTGTACTCCTTATTCTTGATCACTCTGGTAGTCTTTGCCTGCTAAATTTAATTGGGAAAAGTTAGAGAATTTTCTGTTCACTTCAGCTGTTAACAAAATGTTGAATAACATCAGGCTATTCTAATCCCTGTAGAACCTAGTTATAAACTCACATGTTTCGTGGTCATTCTATATGGACAATTACTTTTTGTGATCTTTCAATATAATTTTTAATCTGTGACATATGATTTATCATTATATTGAAGGCTTACTTGTAAAGCTAAGTGCTTTACTCAAGCCTTAGGTTTGCTAAGCACAGGTGGCTACGTTAATTAACCAAACTTTCAATGATAAAAAGCACATGACTGCTATGATTTGTTTGATAAAATGAATGCATGTTGTTTTGAGTTGTATTCTTCTCTCTCGATTTGTCTCTTGTCTCTCCTGCTTTAATACCAAGCTAGTTGGCCCTAAAAGTACATAGGTTCTGCCATTTTAAAACTCTGTAGGGCAAGTACTCCCACTGTCTCAGATTTCACTTGATCGCAGGCACACTTGCGATCAGTTTTCTGTCTCTTTTTTTGGGCGGAGAAGTAGAGCATTGTTAATAGTGGGTGATGAACATTCATTTTTTTTGATGTCCGGTTGGACTGATCTGCCCTCTTTCTAGGAAGCATGAATAGTTGCTCAGTTTCAAGACTGTTTCAAAGCAAGGAAGTATATAGCTCCAAACCAGTGTGCTGTCCATCCCAGTGTATCGGATCCCTAGGTGGTATCCGCCTAGCTTCTCCGGTATGGGCCAGAGAGCTCTGGTATGTGATTATGAGGAAGCTCTTGGTCAGAAAGCCTGTTGCCTTTCTAGTTCTCCCTAACTTTTTATATCATAACAATAGCCCAATTCTTTATTCAGATCCAGAACTTTTGCATCTTATGCCCTGTTTGCCAGCCACATTAGTTCTGTGGAGAAGCAGCTCTGTAGTACTCTGTACCTTTTTAATAAAGCAAACTTGCCAGTCTGAACGTGAAATGATTCTCTATTTGGTTTGGATATCTTTACTCATACTTTTCTTTCCTGTATCCAAAAAGATCAGAGCCCTTCATATGCTAGTATTTTTTAGCTGGATAATGAATCTCTTTCTCACCTAGCCAATAATACCAGCCTTCCTTAACTGCTTCTTCCATCTCCTGTCAGTGAAGCAGTTCTGCGTATTGGCCGTAGCATCCATCAGGAGAAAAGACAGGATGCGTGCCTGTACAGTGATTCTCATTCCATGTTGTTGCATTGGGTGTATTTATCTGCAGGTCTCTTTTTTTGTGTTCTCACCAACTAAAGCAAAATGGCATAAGTTGAATGTGTTTAGTTTTGGTTTGTTTTTTTTTTTTCTGGACAGAACTGTATCAGCTGGGTCCTTGGAGAAACTGTTATTTTGGGGGAACCAGTGAAAGAACAGTTAATGGATATTTTCATGGAGCTACCTAAATGGATTGCAGATGTATTTATACCTGTAATATATTAGTCAAAAAGGCTCCTTCTGGGCTTGAATCTCCCTCTACAGTGTCTCTGAAATATGAGCGGCATAAACTGCTGATACAAAGTTCAATCTCATCTCTTATTGCATATTGTAAGTTGGTAGAGGCATTCAGATCAGTTACAATTTTTTATAGAGCGCTCTACCATTAGCTGCTTAAATAGGACACATCTGCCCACGCACTGGGTTTTCTTGTTGTGTTATGATAAACGCTATATACTCATGCTGGCCCTGGGAAGCTATCTATGTTCTTTCCATCTCGGGTATGATCACTGGTCATAAAGGTCATGAAAGCCAAATTATGTGAATGTTAGATTAGGCAGGGGGTTTACGTGAATGTTTTTGACTGGAGTTTGGTGAAGAGTGACATGAGAAAGAAATGTAATATATTTCTTTTGGTTTTGTGTTAATTCAGAGAAGGAAGAATGGCAGCAAAAGCCTGTAAAGGCTGACCAGTGTAATCCGAAGCCTCACAAAAATATAAGTTGAATAAGATGTTTACTAAATAGGAAAACAAGCAGAGTAATTGTTCCACACAACCCCTTTAACCCTTTTTAGTCTCACGAAGACTGTACTCGCATGAGATGTAGAACTGCAGGATATGACAGCTTACCAAAGCTATTCTTAACTTAACTAATTAGAGTATCAGGAGCAATGAAAATACCTTTCAGCGTGCATTAGTTACTCTCTTTTTTGGCGCTTGGGGAGAGATGATAATTAACCTGAATTATTTCATATTTAAAATGAAATTTCAAGATGTATATACAGTTCTGATGAGAAATTTGTGTTATGATGAACTGCATGTCAAAGCCCCTGTAAACTGTGCACAGTTCAGCACAGTTCTTTTTAGAAGTCGATTAAGCCAAAAAAAAGCGATGGTGCAAAATAAGTCATGTCCACAGAGGAACTCTGTTAAAGAGCATGAGCTTTGAATTCACATCCTGTCTTAACTCCAGCTAGCTTCAGTGTTTAGGTAAGCCTAAGGAGGTTGGCACTTTTCGTAGAGCAGAGGAGTGCTTTCCACGTATGGTCTAACACAATGACAGTCGTTTTTTAAAAATAAATAAATAAAGCTTCCAGTACAGAATGACCAACATCAAGCATGAATGAGGATATCCTGAAATATGTAGTTAGATACAGAATTTATATCCTTGATAAGTGCCTCCCTTTCAACTTCTTCTTTCATTTTCTCTTCTATTTTAAGCCTCTCAGGACAAAGTAGCACATACAGTATGCCTTCATATATTTTTCAAGAGAATCTAGCACCATGGACCCTTGGCTAGGAGTGGGAACTCTAAGTCTCTTTATCGATATTGAATATTAGTAATATGCTGTCCTTTATGTAGTTGCTAAAAGCCTAGGCACTGGTATTTCCATTTTTAATTAAGAGCTGCAGTAAAATAGACTAGGACCAAAAAAACAAAACCCCTCTCAATAGCCTTCACAATATTCCTTTAACTTTAAGCTTTCCAGTAAAGGTGGGCTTCGTGCAACTCTTGCCCTGATATGCTTTTCTGCGTGAAGCAACCAGCATATCATGTAGACGTTCTGTTCTTAGTCATTCGAGAAGGCTGAAATCTTTGAAGCTTCTTGTGCTATTTGCTTGTATGCCTAGTCATTGCAGTCCCAGCGTCTGTGGTTTATCTTTTCAAGTTCAAGTTTTTAATAATGAAAATGAACATCTCTCTCTCCTGCTCTCCTGCGCGCACTCCTGCTCTCCTGCTCTCCTGCGCTCGCTCTGCTGCTCTCTTGCGCTCGCTTCTATGCGCACTCATGCTCACTCTTGCACGTGGTTGCTCTCCTGCGCGCGCTCGCTCTCTTGCATGTGCTTGCTCGCGCTCCTGCTCTCCTGCGCGCGCTCGCTCTCTTGCATGTGCTTGCTCGCGCTCCTGCTCTCTTGCACGCGCTCCTGTGCACGCTCGCACTCACGCTCCTGCGCGCACTTCTGCTCTCCTGCACGTGCTCCTGTGTATGCTCACGCTCTCTTGCGCGTGCTTGCTCTCTTGCGCGTGCTCCTGCGGGCACTCGCGCTCACTCTTGCACGTGCTTGCTCACTCTCCTGCTCTCTGGCGCTCGCTCCTGTGCATGTTCTCACTCGCTCTCCTGTGCGTGCTTCTGCTCTCCTGCGCACACTCCTGTGCACGCTTGCGCTCCTGCTCTTTTGCGCACTCTCCTGCACGTGCTCCTGTGCACACTCGCACTTGCTCTCCTGCTCGCTCCTGCGCACTTGCTCCTGCACACTCGCTCCTGTGCTTGTTCCTGCACGCTCTCTCTCCCTCTCTTGTGCTCTTACTCGCTCTTTTGCGTGCTCGTGCTCACTCTCTCTTACGCACTCACTCTCTCGCTCGTGCCCACTTGCTTGCTCTGGCTCATGCTCACTCTCTTGCTCTTTTGCTCTCTCTCACACAGATATAAAGAGATTAGCTGAAAAGGAAGACTGGGTTGTTGACAATGAAGGTTTGACATCTTTGGTGGGTATACTTGCATGTCTTATAGGCACTTTTTTTGTTTAAGTGTTACAAAAATGGTTTGTGTGTTATTTTTGACTTTGTCTATATATGTTTTTATAGGTGACCATGGTTTTATTAAAATATGATGAAAACGTAGAAAGATAAGAATACAATTCTTTTTAGATAGTTATCCCCTTATAGATCTCATCATCAAACAACTAACTGCAAAGTCCTTTTTTCTTTTTAAACTGTTATGCCTCCAGTCATTTTAAAATTGTGTGACAGTGATATCACTGTGCAGCGATATTTTCTAAAGTGCAAGAAAGAATGTAAAGTTACTGATAAAATAACTCCTTAATTGTGCTAGGATTATCATAGAGAAAGTTATATCGAGGTAGATGTGCAGTATTGACATGCTACCAATACAATGAAAACTCATATCCTACTACGTTTTTACTTCCACAGATGTCATGAACAGGGAACACAGGAAACTTTTGGTTTTGGTCTTTGAGATGCATCGTCTCTTGTCTTTCAAAAGCGACACTATTTTACTTGGGAAATGGCTCTAACATAATCGTAAAAAGAGTGCTTTTTAGCACTACTTCTTGCAAAGAAATTCTCTGGTGTCTATATTCTAGTCCTTTCCCATTCACCTGGAGGCGTTGCCACTTCACCTTTCCACACTGATGATACATACTCTGTGTGTGCAAGGTTCATGTTGAAAACTCCTTGATGAGCTCCGTTTTCTGTGAGTGAAACTTAGGACCAAAGTAGATGAAACTTAGAAACGCTATGGTTTGTAGGCCAGTGAGACTGATTATTATTTGTAATACTGCCCAAAACAAATAGAGACCGCTAACAGAATAAAACCATCTTTTTAGAAATTGCTTTTTACGTAACACTTTGTTTTCATGCATTTTATATATGGTAAAAAAAATCTCAATACCCTCACTTTACCAAATCTTACATTTTAATTTTTTTTAATAAATAAGTAGTGTTTTCTTCCTAAGTATCAGAAAGATTTTTAAGTGGACTTCTAGAATGAGGTCCATATTTGCAATATTTCATTTTTTAGAAAAAACTTATGCAATATTTGTCAGTCCATTATGAATTACTGGATCTAAAATACGTTATATTAAAAATAGACAAAGTTTTATCTTTTGATTTCCCCCTGCCATCCAAGCTCATCTACTCACTGATTTATAGGGAACCCTATTCATATATAGAAATACATGCATGAATAAAAGCTTTGTCGATTTTTGCCACATATTGAGAGACAAAAAATTTACATATGGACATAAAGATATGTGCCATGGCTTTCTGCCTCAAGTGAGGTTATTTAAATGTGTCAAAATAATTATCACTAACCTTTAGTATGATTTTGCTGAGATAATAATAGCTTTCGTTGTTAAGCATCTTATGTTAGGGGTGATTTACTGAAGTAAAGAATTTGTTTTTGAGGTCGTAACAAGTTCAGTTCACATCTAAATGCATCATAACTTAGTAGGCACACTACCACGGAATTGCTCTGCAGCTGAATAAATAGGTCACTTATCTGTTATAATGAGAAATTGAACTGAAAAGCAACTAATTTAGGAGATTTCCTACACACAAACAACAAATGACTTGAAACCAAATTCAAATAAATTAGTGAGACGCTTTCTGGAAATAAACAGTAATGAGTAATGGCTGAAACGCAACAAGCACATTGTAGGTGTGACTTAAAAACAATCTGCGAAAGCAGAGAGGGCCTGTGGGAGGGAGAGTAGCTTTGTGTATGTTTACCTTAGAGAATGCTCCACAGGCCCTTTTTTAGTTTTTCTTATTTGCTCCTGTAAATATATGTGTAGGATGGCATGAAGCAATCACAATATAGATATTGTAGGAAGGAGTGTCTTTGGGTGATTAGAATATTATAGCCAGATTCGTAACTTACGGTCTTCGTCTCTGTTACCACCGACTTGGGCAAGTCCCTTAACCTTTCTGTTTTTCACTCTATTCATCTGTAAAATGGAAGGGGAGGAGGGTCTGCCACAAAAGCTTCTGGTTCTTTATGCTTTTGCTGTATCATAACCTATCTTTGCAGAAGGGTGCTGAACAGCCTCTTGTGTATTTGGAAGTCAGCCATGAATTCCTTGTGCGTGGTATTTCAATAGATAGCTCCTTCTGAGGCACTGCGTCATGTTGCCGTGATCAAGGCAAGCCAAATTTTACATGGTGGCAGTTGGTTAGGTTTTGTGGTAACAGTTTTGTAGTCACAGGATTATTATGGTCTGCTAGAGCAGAGTTGGCTGTAGTAAAAATTAACCAATATAAATAAGGGCCAGGGAAATATTGGAGATATTTTAGGCTTAAGATAGGAACTATATATTAAGGTGCCTGGGAAATACTGGCTTCTAACCTGCGTAGCACTTATATTGCAGGTAACAGATACACTAAGAGACAGAGCCAACTTTCCTGTAATTCATAATATCCAAAGTCTAATGTATCTGAACTGCTTCCTTCTCCTGAAGTGTGATGTTTTATTATGTGAAAACAAAAATAAAAGGAGCAGCACTTTACTATTGTTTTTTTCTTCTTTTAAGCCAGTCCGAAAAGTAATAATCATCTTAGTGGGTTTTATTCAGAATTTTCAAGTTGCCCTGCAGGCATCAGTCTTGTGCTCCTCCTCCATCATTTACAGAAATAAAAGTTTCTCCTTAACCTCAAATAGATGACATTCGAACAATATGCCCTAAACTTCTCATCTTCAACTTTTCATCTTCTGGATGAAAACCAGGTTAACATCTAGAATGACTTAGAAGCTTTTTATCCATCTGTCTGACCCAAATCCAACAGAATGATGGCCCTTTTTCCTAGAACGGTGACGCCTCTGTGTTTCATGTTGCCCTGCTCGACAGCTTCCTGCCTAATACCAACAGACAGTCTCAGAAAAAGAGAGTGACTTAACAGGGAAGAGAAGAAGGCAAGGAAAAACTGACTAATGAGTCTAATGTTGTGAACTCATTTACACTTTCATAGTAAAATTGGTACATGCATGAAGACACTTGAAAAAAAAAAAAAAAAGGCCTCCCAAAAACAGTGCTTCCGTTTCCTCATGTGAGAGCAATTTCCATTTACTTTTCTTAAAAACCTCTTGCTGAAATAAAATGCAGAAATTTCAGATATTGAAGGTGAAATTCAATCCCAACTTAGATCAAGGGAGTATGTCACAGGTATCTATAATGTAATTGTCTATAGGTGCTACCACAAACAAGCTACAGAAATTTTTCATAGCCCTTTTAGAAGAGGCTGCTCAGTGGAGAAGTCTCTCAGAGAAAAACGTCCATTCATCTATTGTAATAATTTTGTAATTGACTTAAGTACGAAAGTGCATCATTACAGAGGAATCTTCTTGTCATATACGATTGTCATAATGTAATTCTTTTTCCTTGTTTGGGATAAGCTGAAAATAAATAGCTTACTGTGTGGAATGGGAATTTGTATATGTTTGTATAATATACATTTTACATGCCATGCTCACCTAGGAGCTAAAAAGTTGTTTACTTTCAGCCATCCCAGTTTGAACAATGCATTATCCATTCCCTGCAATCTCTGAAAACTGTGCTGGACTGCAAACCTGGAGAGGCCAGTGTAAGTATTGGTTTATACTTTTATTTTCTTTCTTTTTATGTAAATTATTACTAGGTTTCAGGTCAAGAACTTTCACAGAATGATGCAGGGATGTACTTCACTATTTTTCTTTTTTTTTCCTTCATGTACACTCTTTTCCATGCTGCAGGCTACCAGAATTATGTTTATATTTCCTTTGCTTGGGAGGGAATGGTGTGTGTATGGGGCAGATGAAACCTATACTTACATCTTTAAAGCTGCTCATATAGAAAAATGCTACTAATATAATTTTCAGATGACAGTAGATGTGACTTTATTAGAGAAGTTAACTGTTCTCAGGAGCCAATCTTAACTAAATATTGCATCCAAACTACTTGCAGAACATGAATTCAGTCGTTTACTTCTGTAAACGTTATTCTAGATCAGCAGTTTTTGTCATCTCCATCCACTGAGTGCCTTAAGACCCTGATTGTATGTGATACTAAACTTTTCTTTCTAGTTTCAGTGATGTGAGGAAGCTTAACATTTTTCCAAAGTCTGTTGGGCCCCTCTGTATGAGTATTGTTTCTTCCTTATTTTTACCTTTTATGATTAGCTCATTGGTTTCTTAGTAAACGTTATTCAAGAGAATCTGCAGTGAGTACTTCATGGTGAATCCTTGTTGTCAGGGTGCAAATATCTTTGAATGCCCTGGGAGCTTTTACTTGTAATTCCATTATCCAACAACGGTACGTATCAGTTGTACTTGGTACTAGGGCTTTTTTCCATTCAGCTTTTTATCACCCCATGCTTGTCAAACTGATAATTTACGCATGTACTCTCTTTCCCCCTTTTTTAGGGTGGGGGAAAAATTGAAACTGATCAGCTAGGAGGTGTTGTGTCCCAGCAGTCATTCCCATAACTGTGTCATCTCTTTAGGAATAGATTACTCAGGGCTGCTGTCAGTTGCTTTTGCATGACTTTTCTGTATGGCTGCTCTCCTGATTCCAGGGATTTTGACAGCAAAATTACAAAAGGAAGGAACTAGTTTTAATAATGCTTTTCTTTCCTCATTTCTTTGGGAAGAAAACCATGTGAAGCTGTTCCACTGAAATAATATGCTTGCATCTCCAGGTTTTCCAGCAACAGAAAACACAGGAGGATGTGTGCCAGCTGAGCATTGGGATCCTGCAGGTAACTCAAGTATTTTAAAGTATGGAATTGTGAACACCAGTGAGCAACTAAAATGTGTGTTTCGCACCCTGCCTACCTCCTAAAAGGTAGCATAAGGTAATGACAGCTTGTTTTTCCTCCAGTACACCCTTGGATCCTGAGAAAAGTTTAACTCTAAAAGTGTGTACAGCTTAACAACTGAATCTGATGATATCAAATTGTCAGAGGGGGATAAATCACATGTTAGAGAATTTTACTGAACTGCAGTCATCTGGATTTAGAGACACCTGCTGAGCTGAGCTGATGTAAACTAACACTGATTCACTGTAGTGAAAGGGACAATGACAGTTTTCATCCTCTGAGGATCTGGCTGTTAATTTTTTGTATTAGAAGCCAATATATTTTTTTTTAAATTATAAATAAGGTAATAGCATATCTTAGTTTTATGCATCTCTGTTATTTATAATATTGTGAAATTGAGAATTCGTGACCTAAAATAAAAAAAGGATTTTAGTGATACCTCTATGATGTTTGCTTGGGATCCCTATTTAGACTGAACACTTGAAATTTATTAATAATCCGTTCTTTGCAAATCAGCAGATTGTCTCCACATAATTTTATCCCTGTGTGATGGAGATGACTTAGCACAATGAAAGATAGTACCAAAAAACCCCAATTTTTTTGCCACATATAAACAGAGAGTAGCAAAATAAATGTATTTAAGATTCAAAAGGCATAACCAGAATGTTTCTCTACTAATATATATAAGGTTTAAGGCAATGAAAGATTATGATGATCGTTTACGTCTGATGACTGTAATAAAATTGAATTTAAGATTTTCGGGGGAGGGTGTTGCAGAAAAGGTTGAACTTGTTTTATTGTTTCCTAGGTTTTTATAGACTGTTTGGAACAACTGAGCACAAAACCTGATGGTGACATAGATACAGCACAGTAAGTAAAGTAAACCTGACCCAATGGTAGTATTCTGAAATTGTGGATGTCGATATCAAATTTTTTTGTCGACTTGCTCTAACATTAAACACTTCTTATGAATATTTTTGCCTCTGGCAAAAGTAGTGATGCTTTGAAATACGAGTAAATGCTTTTTATGCCAAAATATTGAGTGGCATCATGTAATAAATATTGCATAAGATAATGAAACATAGTATTAATTACTCCATTTTGTTCAGTGACAGGAGTTGTAGTATTCTTCAGAAGTAGGTATGTTGTTTTTGGCATTAGCTTACATGGAATGAGTTGTCCTTGTCGCTAAGTAACGTCTACTCATGGAGGTACAACCTCTGCCTTACTTTTCTTCCTTTTTGCTTTAACTGGATCCGTCAGTAGTTCTGCCAAATTCTTGAAAGTTTAGCTTTGTTCCCGAGTTGCACATGAGCTGCTTATTCCAGAGTCAGAAGAGCCTCAGTTTCCAAGAGCACCAGTCATTTCTGTGTTGAAAGCCAGAGGCTTGGCAAATACTGGTACCTGCAGCATGCATTAGAGAGAGGCAAATTAACCGTTCCCCTAATGCCACTTTTATTTTCTGTTGATGAACCCCTATTGGCTGAATAGGTGTAGAAAATGGGTCAGAATCTGTGGCAAACCAAAGAAATTGGAGAAAGTGAAAATACTTTGAGAAGGGAAGGTCTGCAGCTAAAGTAGTACTTTCTATCCAAAAAGCTCCTGCTGGCTTTCTGGACATCTTATAAGTTGAGCAGCTTGTGCTGCTTTCTTATCTGGTGTGAGAGGGTTTGAAACAAGATTCCAGTCTTCTGTTCCAACTGTTAGTTTGAATCTACCATGTATCGTATAGTCAAAATCACAATACTGCTCACTTTTTAAACAATATTCATAGTCTTTCAGTGGATGTTTCATCTCCAGATTTGTTTGGAAGCATTCATGAAGACTCAAGTCTTTCTTCAGTAAGTCTGGCTTCTGTTTTTATGATGTGAAACTCAGTACTTCTCAAAGTTCCTGGAATGTCGTCCTTGTTTTTATTACGTTTTTGGGGGGGTTTGATTTATCTTTTTTAGCAATCAGTTATGTATTCCAGAGGCTTTTCTTAGATATACTGCAAAAATATGAACATATAAGGCTTGAATATAGGGCTATTTTAAAAAGCATTGTTTATTTATGATATCGTAGTATACTATCTTAAGGTAACTAATGAAAACAGTTTTTATAACCAGGTCCCCCTCAAACTGAAACACCACCTCTGAATTCAGGAAAATAGCAGATTTTTACATCAAAAGTTAAATCCTCATATGTTTTCTCACTTAAGTTTTAAATGATAAGAACTGGCCTGATTATTAGCAATTTTTAAAATCACATTAAGATACAGATATTCAGCGTAATGTAATTTTCCCTCAAAACTCACTTTACTAATAGAAAGTAGAGATTATCTGCATATTTTAAATTATTTTCAGGCAACTGAAAAAAAATTCTTAATATTCTTAGTGCTTTGATTGCCAAATGGTGGTTAGCGTACTTTCTTCCAGTCCAACGACTGATGGAAAGAATGCAGTTGTTCCCTGCAGGAAACCTAGCGAGAGCCTGTTGTGTGGTTACTTGGTACGGATTTTAATTTTGTCAGAAGCCCAGCTTTGCCGTACTTACAAGAGCAGTTAGCATTTCCACTGCAGTGAATAATCAGAGATTGCAAAATCAGACCAAGTTTCTGCATTCCAGATTATAATAATTTGTGATTTATATTATTTTATTCTTGCAATACATGGACTTTGATATCAATTGTTCACAAAGTAACTTTTTGTGGCTGTTCCCACCTTTCTCCCCCGTCTCCAAAGGTGCAAACTTTAAGTGAAAAAAAATCAGCCAGCTAAACAATATTTAGTTTCCACAGTATCATATTAATTTTCTTCTGTGACTGGCAGAGCACTTTATCTTCTGTTTCCCAACTGACTAATGAGAAGAGAGAAAGTAAGCAATCTATGTGAGATTTTTTTCACTGTACTTTTAAAATGCTTATTTTTTGAATACTCTGTGTACCAATTGATTATAATTTAAAATAGGCAACCACACATATTTATGCTACTCATCGTGTTATATTACTGGAAGACAAAACTGTCAGGAATTCTTCAGGGTGAAAACAATGTCATTCTTAATCAGATCTCAACTATGATTATGATTATTTCATTGGCAAATAATTTTGTTTTCAAAGTATTTGCTATAGTTGATCCTAAACTGCTATCTGAAGTTTTTTTTAAGAAGAAAAAAAAAAAGTTTTCACCATCGGGGGAAGGAGAGGGGAAGAGAGAAGACTGAATCTAAATAGTCTGTGTACAGTTTCACGAAAAGTCATTATTAAAATTAAGACTGTATTTTGGGTAGCTCTTCTTTTTATTTGGTGGTTTGCCTCCAGTTTGGAAACTATACCGTGTTGCACCAAGCTCAGGGAAAGGCAATTCTAGTATCTCAACTCCAAAATGTATTATGAAACATATTTGATCTTATGATTTAAAAAAAAAAAAATGATTGCGTTAGAGTAACTTAGTATTTTCAGATTAACTGATGAAATTATATCAAGTACTTTTGAAGCCTCTAGCATTCCAGAATGGGCAAGTATGTTTGTTCAGAACCTGTTTTGCTTTCCTTGTTTTAGCCAGTTTCATATGAAAGTGAAGATGGTATTTGGTTTCGTTTTATGATGGTCATAATTCTTAGCATATTTCTAGAAACAAAGTAAAAGCCAGAAACAACTTCCTGGAAAGCTGTCCAAACCTTATTTTTGTAAAGGAGTCTTAACCGTGGTTCTATATTAGTCACAGTTATTCCAGTGAATACTCCACATCTCATAAGAAAAAAGTACGTGTTTAATCATTATACCTGATGTTTGCTCAGTTCCTAGAATTTATTGACAAAAATACGTCAACTCTACTTTATTTATAAGCATGTTTATCATACAACCACCCTTCTGTCCCCTACCTGCCACCCCATCAATAACATTGACACATTTTTAGTATTGGCCGTTGTGACATTTTTTCTAATCATTATCCTTTTTCTTCTTTTAAATTGCACTTTTAGGAACAAAGGCTTTTAATTGCACTCAGCAACTGCCGCTATCTGGAACGTCATACCTTCCTAAATATAGCTGAACATTTTGAGAAACATGGCTTTCAAGGAGTTGAAAAAATAACTCAAGTAAGTGAGAACACTGAAATAAAGCATCGTTGCTTGAATGAAACGGTTTTTATTTGTTTTACTTTCTGTGGGAATTAAGTGCAAGTGTTCAAACGGCCGAAATGACTCTTGAGTAAGCCCTCTACAAATGAGTGGGATTCCAAGCATCAGCTGAGGACACAGCAACAGTGATGATATGGCTGTGTATGCTCCTGTTTGGCTTAAATAGCAGTACAGAAAATGTGACCTCTTATTCAGGATTTGTATGTTCACTGGCAAAGCTTATCAGATTTCTGAGTAAAACTGTTTAATGTCACTGTGTTTTCTTAATGCAAAGAATAAAAGATCATTATCTCAAAAATATACTTGATAAATTATTTCATCTGGCAATCTATATTACTGATAGCTGTTGTTCATAAACTAGGTTTTTTTTGTCTTTTTTTTCAAAGAACGAGAATGTCAAAGTGGGCGGCAGTAGCTGTCTCATTTTCCTTCCTTTTTGTAAAGATTAATCATTTTTAATGAGAAATGTTGTGACTTAGGACCAAAGGTTAGTTTATTTCAAGAAACGTTGTTTGGAAGTAAAATGTTATCTCTTAGAGTATAGAATAAATATTTTACTCCAAACTGATGTTCCTACTTTATAGTGCATCCTTAGTCTCATTCTGCGTGCATACTGTTTGAATTTCTATGGCTGAAGTAATTTTGAATAGCATTCAAGTGGGGTTGATAAGATTTGTATTGTTAGTACAGCATAGATACAGTTATCACCATTCTTTGCTGCTGGGGCAATTAAGAGCTGGTTTGGATTAGGTACAGTTAATATGTTGACTATATAAGCAAATAAGGCATCTGTTATGTATCAAGCGCTGTCTCTTGTACAGCAACATCAAAGTATTACCTTTAAAAGTCCGATAGGTTTGTAAATGACAAAATTGAAATGATGAAATTGCAGAATAATTTGTGACTATGTCAAATCTGTGTTAAGCCTTTGAAAACTGTGACCAAGTACTGCCTCTATGGTACATATCAATCAGTGATTCAAGCTGGGAGTATTTGGATAGCTAGATAGTCATTTAAAGATGGCCATTTTTGAATCCTTTGTTAATTCTGAGGCAGGCTAGAACCTCACAGAAATAAATGGAGGGTTTACAGTATGTTGGTGATTGTTTAGGGTTGGGTGATTTTTTCATTGTTTGTCCTGCCACATAAATTTCTGTAAGTTTCTTAATTTATTTAGCTATTTATCAGATAGAAATTTTGCAATAAAGAATTGGCAGCGTTTTTGAAAAAAGTGGATTTGCTTTTATCTAAAAAGACTGAACCAAAACTATAATTCATTAGCTTTATAAATTAAATTTTGAGATACAACTCTGTATGTTGGTCAAAACTATTTTGAGGAATTTTTTTTTTCCAAGTTGCATTTGTTAGTAGAGATTTATTTTCTAAATATTCTGGAAATAAAGAAAATGTAAAATGATAACTAAGAAGACTTTCTTATACGCTGGGTATTTGTTATTACTGTCTTTTTCTTAACTTGTCCAAATATTGAATTACATAAAGTGGCGCTCTTATGATGCTCCCTTATTCAGGGTTAGTAATTATGTTTAATTTCTACACTGCTCTTTCTTTTTAACATACTTTTTTTGGTGGAGATCATTTAATAAAACTTTTTATCATCAATTTCTTTAGTTAATTAGCAAGTAGAAAAATGCAGGTATTCCCATAACATTTATCCTCAATTGTTAAGATTAAACTTCTAGATAAAAATGTCTCCAAAGTTCTGATGTTCAGATTAGGTAGATGTAACAATACAGAGTTGTTGTTAAAGGTTCAAAATGACTTTAATGCAAAAACTGAAAGCCATAATTACAGGGAAGTCGCAGCAGAAAGATAACAATGTGAATTCAACAAGTGAATTTTCTAAGAGTGTTTACTCCACTTAGGAGTCAAGAAAATGGGTGTAAATAATGGAGGTGGTTGAGGGACGTCGTTGGGTCCATGCGATGCTCCGGTCCCCCCCCCTTTTCCCCGCCTCCCAGTCCTGGACTCAAAAGAAGATTCAGATGAATTGTTCATTCTTGTAATCTTTCCAACAGCTGAAAAGCAATGTTACCCACTGTTGTGTAATTGTGCATTGGACTCAAAACAGTTAAAGAGGACTAACATGCAAAACAACTGTACTGACTATGCAGATGATCTTTTGTATTGAATGACTGCAAAAGTGGAAGGGGGAATTGATTAATTGCAAAAACACTTTGTTCAGGACAGTTGGAGCCATGGTTTCACAGGTGTTCTTCAAACAAGTGTATGTTTGCAGGGACTTCCTAATGGAACTTCTTCTTTATTTTTCCCGGTAGCTCCAACCTTAAACAGGAATGGTCCAAGGATACTTATCCTGCCTAATCATAAGAAAGTTAACTGAATAATCTCTTGAAATCCATCCAGGTTTACATTTTTGTGATTCTATGTAAGGAGAAAATGAGGGTTTGATGAGATTTTGGTGCATTTTTAGTTGATCCTTGTTTTTCAAATGCGATGCTGATGTGTTGTGAGGTGGAAGGGAAAGGAGAGAAATACAGGCCATGATCTTTGCCTGTGGCAAATTCTCAGTGCTTCATAAACATTCCCTCTTTGGGCTATAGATACACCTTTGACAAATCAAAGTAGGTTCATTGAGTAGAAAATCAGGGAAGTGATAGCATCTCTTGTTTCTACTCACCACCCCAACTTTTCTGATCTTGGCCATTCCTTTGACCTCAGTAATATCTCTGCTTTCCCCTGAACTCATATCCTCCTTCCAAAATGCTTTTCTTGTTTATTCCTTACTCAAGAATTGCAGTTTTCTTTTCTCTTCAGCTAGCAATATAGGTATGCCAAAAGAAAACGAACTTTAGAGATGTCCTTGTAATGGATAAGATTCATTCCTTCTTCTGCAGCTTGTAGAATTAAACCTTTTGTCTTTCTTTCACGGGGAAAGCAATGATAAGAAGTTGGTTATCTTCTTTTCTTTGTTTCTTCTTCTGAGTTCCGGAACTGGTCTGGAACACTGCCTTCTTCCTCCCATTTAAACCACTTTACTTCTGGAAATTGCCTGACCAGAAATAGAATATATCTGCTTTCTCCCTAGTGGTTGAGAAAAATGAGCAACAGTTTAAAAACTTTACTCGGCTATCTCTTAAGCTCTTACTGATGGACATAAATACACTTAACCAGAAATTACTTGACATTTTCAGCATATTTTGTTTGCATTTAGAAGCTATAACAATGTTAAGATACTGACTTTTCACTGTAAGATTTTATGATATGCATTGTGTCCTGCAATTGCTTTAGAAGCTGTAACAACATAGGTAAGCAAACGTATGTTTGATAAAATAGACTTGTATAAAATTTTTAGAATGATAAAAACATTCACATTTCCTCTGGCTTTCAGTGTTCTAGTTTTGTGTAGTACTTAAAAATCGTGTAGAGATCTGTTAAATAGAAAAATACTGCAGCTGTTTATGAGCTGCAGCTTCTACATTTGTTGTACAGAGAGGCCATAAAGTGGTGTGGGGAACTTGACATGGACAATTCCAGAAATCAGAGGTTCTTTAATAAATCTGTGTATTTTCAAGTATAGAGCAGAAAATGATAAATTGTAATATTACAGCTGGTAGATCATAATTATTTTAAGTAAACCTGTGTGTTTCGTGATGAAATTATTATGAGCATGATCATATGTAAAGCATTAGCACAATTCAGTTGTTAAGTTGGTGCAAGATCAAGACCTCCTGATAGGGACAAAAAAATGGTGCTATTAGACAATTATAGAATTATCTGCCCACTCAAGCATTTCTTGCACCTTTCCAGAAAATACTTGTTACTGACCACATTCAGAAAAAGGATTTTGGACTGGCTGGCATGGAGTGATAATATGGAGATTCCCACATTTATGTATATGTTAATTATGAATTGAATGTTTAATTGCTACTTTTTAACTGAAAATTAAAGAAAACAACCTGTAAGTTTTTGGATATGTGATGTAATTCTTATAATTAATGACTATATACTCTGTTCTTTCTTTGAATTTTCTTTTAGGTTAGCATGGAATCCTTGAAAGAGCTGGATCAAAGACTGTTTGAAATGTACGTTGAATCCAAGGCAGATCCTATAGTTGGGTCATTAGAACCTGGCATTTACGCAGGGTATTTTGATTGGAAAGATTGTCTTGTTCCAGCAGGTAAGTATCTGCTTATTAAGCTCTGAAATGATTGATAGGAGTTAAAATATACTGTACAATTAAAAACTTTTTTCTAATCTGTGTTTTTAACTTTGACAAGGTCTTATTATAAATTCTTTCTCAGTGATTTTTACTTAATTCTTAAATCACTTTTCAAATACCCCAGATGATTAGAGCAGCTTTTATCATTGATAATCTCTTTAATGCTTGTTTTTTGTGATTATTTTGCTTCGTTGCTTACATATAATAGGAAGAATTATGAAAAACATCTTTGCTATTTTCTTATGAAATTCATTGAGATTGTTTGGAATTTTTTTCCAAAGAATTTGGCCACTTTTGCAATAGACGTAATTACAGTTCTGAAAAGGTAAAATTATGAGAAAATATGCATTATAACAGTAGTTCAGCAACTGATGTTAAACCATCACAGAAAGGGCAGCTGGAACGTATTTAGAATGACTGAGATGTTTAGTCATTATCTAGTTGCTTTAAGAGCCTCCATTTTAAGGGTGCTCAATATAAACAAACTTGATTTTTCACAAGATTAATGTTGTGTGCGTTATTAACTTTTAGTTCCCTTGAACATGTAATGCGTCATATCCAAAACTGATACTACTAAATCACTTACATTTTGAATGCCTTGCTAATGCCAAGTGGAAATTAGTTGCGGTAATGTAGGACTTGGAATTTTAACAGTGATCTTATATTCATTTCAACAAATCGATGTTTGACATGATAGTTTGTGCTTTTTTGGTCTGTTGATAATTTCATAGAATTGTATATGGCAAACTTAGTAGAAATTATGCAGTCCTTTAAAATTTGTTAGGAGGTGTTACAAGAAACATAAGTTTGTAATCTAAATAAAGAGCTGCAATGTTTGCTCATGGGGGCCTAAAAACACAGAGACCTTAGGGTTTATTATGCTTGAGAAAAGTCTCTCTTCTGCCTTTGATTAAACATTTCTATAAATTATATAAAGGTATGATACAAATTATATTATATATAATTTTAATATAATGTCTCATTATGTTTGAAGTATGTTTATGCTTGGCATGATTGTATTCCTACCAGCTAACAAAGAGACAGGGAAAAAGTTGTTGTGTCAGCATTTTATATGCTCAGTTCTTGATTTAGTGTGCAGGGATCTACTTACTAGGCTCATGTTGTCTTTAGAATTATTCTGTAGTATCTTTTCATTTAGAGGGAGTGCTAAACTTCCATCAGGGACATGCCTTACTCTGCTTGTTGTCCAGTTTATTGTTGGTTTTACATGTTTTCTTTACATCTTTTGGGCAAAATTCAAAGTGAAGCTGGAGAACATTAAAGATCAGAGTTATGTATCATATTGCTGGCCAACAGCTGTCCATTTAAAGTAACCAAAAAGTTTTCCTGTTAATCCACAAGCTAGTGGTGTTAAGGGACATATGGTCACATGTCCTCCTTTGCCTATCCACCATGATGATCTGTGCTTTTTTTAGATAAATCCTGTCCAAGTTATCATATTGACTACTAGTATAAAAAGTGTAACTTTGAGTACCTTAGGTTATTTTACTTACAGCAATGGTTAGTTGATCCTGAAAATATTTGGGGTTCTGAAGATAAAATTAGTAAGTGACTGGGAAAATCTCCTTCTTGGAGGTGGAAGAACTTCATTAATGAAAGGAAATGAAAAAGAAATGCCTTCATAGGGCATGTGATAATCTGACTTTATGCAGTATGCAACGAGAAAAATAATTCATCATGCATATTATTGATTTTTTTCAATAAAATAGGATTCGCAAACAAAATTAAATTGTACAGCAACAATACAGTTGAGAAAATAATACCCCTAGGTAATCCAAAAGATGCAGTCAATATCTGTAGTGCTGCTACAACATACCATCTTTTCATTTTCTGCTTAAAAAAACCCCCCTGCTTTCCAGCTCATGTCTAAGTGTAGCATGAAAAGTGTATACTTTATTACTAAACATACAGACAACTGGTAGTGGGTTTCACTGTGTCAAGCATATAGTTAAGCTATTAGGATTTGTTAAAAAGATCTGCTCATTGTTTTGGTGGGAAAAACGTATGTATCCAGTTGAAGTTAGTATCTATTCTTCAGTAATCTTTATGACTGCAAAAATTTAAAGATTTGATTTATTTGACTGATGTAGATCTTGAATTTTGCAGCCTTCATTCTGGAAAAGAAAGAATGTTGGTGACGTTGGCAAGGCAAAACATCTAGTCCTCATTTGTGTTCCACGGTAGTATTATCAATGACCTATAATGCTGCATACTTAAAGTTACTTGATGTTCCTTAGTGGAAACTGTTTCTGATTGCCAAGCCATAACAGCCTGAAGTTTTTCATCTGCTTTTTCCGCATTAGTTTTCAAATAGTGCTAGTGGTAGTAAAAAAGGAAATTTTGGCAAGAACAATTGTTTCAGAAAAGAAGGCTGAGGGAAAAGATATCAATTTACCCATATTTAAAAGATAAAAACAGGCAAATAATTTCATAGTTAGTCTGGTATTTTCAAGCTTTCCATCTCAAGATTGAGAATTTGACCAGAGTGGGGTCATGTTGATGTCATACGTGTGTCTTTTGCAAAGGACGGTTTGGAAAATTGTTAACTTTGGAAATACTCAGGAATTGATTAGGATTAATATTAAGAATTTCCTGATGACTCTATGCTGCTGCCCAGCCCAAAGCTTCAGGACTGCAGCTATTTGGAACGATTGTATTGTGTGAGGTCAGACATTAGCAAGTAGAGTTTCTCTCGTATTCTTGATGCTCCCCCTGCTGTTTCCTGACAGAATGAAGAAATAGGAAGCTTGAATAAAATGCAGATAATACCAGATCTGGACTATGAGGAATATAATGCTTTTAGGTAAATGGAATTGTTCATGGGGAGGAATAAAAAAATGAGCAAGAAATAAGGAAACTTCTAGAAGACTCACTAGACTACTACTCACTAGATCATTAAGCTTTCCAGAAGCTGAAACAAAATCCGATACAATCCCTCAGTCTTCTGCTTTCAGCAAGTATCTGTGAAAGGCTTTAGCAAAGCGTGTTCCTTTCACCCTCTAGGGATGACAGCCTGTTAATGTTACCGATTACATTCCTTGCACAGCTCACAGAAGGTTTCGCGCACACATGCGTGCGCGCACACACCCACCCCTTTTATATAAATGTATATATATACATATGTAGGCAAAATATAAGTAACGCTATAAGTAACTCTACCTGCAACGCTATGTAACGTTGATAGTACCACTGATGAACACAACCACAGCCTAAATGTTTTGCCATCAACGTTTTTTCTGTTTTAGAATCAAGGCTACAAAAGTCAAGATGTACAGCATTAGCCAAATGATTCAAATAAGTATAAATCTATTATACAGAAGTTATATATGTTACCACCAATCCTGCTGTTGAGCCATATGGACAAGTGCAATAGGAGGATTTTCTGATTTCTGTTCTGTAAGATTCAGTCTGTAAATAACAGATTTTTTTTTCCCCACAAGGCTTCACTTCACTTTCTTCACAAAATGGAGCCTGTTTTGGAGATTAAACTGGGTTTTGTAGTAAATCAAGCTGTTACAAGCAAAAGTCTATCCTCAGAAGTTACAGGTTTTGAAAAGTGAATGAGACAATCTGAAGGAAAGAAAAAAGGTGAAGGCAGCATTCTGTCCCTGCAATATTTTCTATGTCAAGTGTTAGTAACTCACTGAGCATTTCTTTATCTTCGTTTTTAAAGTGCCTGCTTTGAATCCTGTCAATTTGAATGTTCATTTTTAATTTGACTACCTGAAGTCCTATAATGGGCAGAATATTCAAAAAAATTTTATTCAAGCACCTTGACTGGCTATACTTTATATCACTGGTGTCTTTACAGTCATCTGTCTAAGTACTGGGGGCAATACTTCCTCATCTCATGTTATTGATGGGAAAATAGATGAATGAGAAGTACTGTAATAAATGATCAGTTCTGCAGAAGAAATGAGAATGAAATTAACAAGTCTATCTTTTGAGCAAAACTTGGAAGTCATATAATATTAAGGTTTGGTAGCATGCTTCTGTCCATGCAGAAAAAGCATGTGCCATGCTCATTTAGGCAGTTGTCCTATTATAAGGATTATTAGATATTTAATTATACATATGTTTTTTGTTACGGTTTTAAATAGAAGGAAGGGTAAGCTGTTTGCATTGTGCAAATTTTAATTTAGCCTATATGCTAAAACTTTTATTGCTTAGTTTTTCAACATATGTACTCTTTTCAGTATGGAAGTTTTGAATGTCATTAAGAACTTGTGCACAATATAATTATGCATTTGCCCTTTTATTTTGATCTAAGGTGTGACTCACTGCTGGTGTTTGAAGGCACTCTGATTTACGTATAGATTTATTGTTAATAAAGAACTTTCATTTGAATGATTAAGTTGACTTTTGAGTCTTTACAGCAACGATTTCAATTTTAACATGCAGCAACAATGAAATCTAGGTTATAATTTTTTTCATGTTCGAAACATTGTTCTCGTTTAATCTGCCGTACCAACAGAATTAAAGATGAAAGGGATTACAGGAAAATATAGAGTTAATCAGTTGCTGCATGTATTTTTAAGTGTTTTTTATTTTATGTATACTGGTCAATCAGCCAGTTCTACTTAATAGGTCTTTTTCCGTGTTTTCATTCTTCGCTCTTGATAGTTTTGTTTTGTTGTTGTTTTGGGGGGTTTTATAATATTTTATATTCTTACCTTTTATCTTACTTGCCTGACCAGTAAAGTCAGGCTCCGTTTCCTCTTTTGACTTCCTAGAGTCTTCTGCAGAGTTACTGAAGTGATTGTGTTGCACTGAATTTGGGTTGAAAAGGATCCTGTGGATCGAAGTTTGTACAATACAAGCAAAAATAGTTGCAGTATGTGGGCCTTCAGTCTTTTACATGATTAATGTGAACTTTTTCCTACAAATGCCAATTTTTTTTTTAAATGTGGCAAAATTAATTTATATTTTATTTGTTT